CCTGTATGAATGACTAATAAGAATTAATGACTAATAAGAAAATACTGAGGGTGTTATTGATAGTCTTAGTGATACAGCATAACTCACTACAAAGGCCAAAGTTGGGAAAATGATTCTGAATCTCATGGTACAAATATAGTTTTAAAGCAAGGTTGTGGTTTTGTTTTGAACAAGGTCATTTTAAGGTACTCTTTCAGGGTTCCCAGACCCCGTTCCAACATGGGGAATGGGAGTTCCCACAACCTGTCCCTAGACACCAAGCAATTCTCAGACACCAGTAGATCTGAATTCATCTCAATTCTGACACTATCTACCCAGAGAGAGCATCAGATTCCACAGCTTAAGGGTTCAGTCCCACAAGACTGGCCCCCTCCCACCATTTCAGATGCGACACAAACCTCAGACTGTGCTTCTGACCAACTGGCTACAGGTTGGAGGTTCCAATGACCTACTCCTTAGGTTTGACTAATTTGCTAGAGTGGCTCAAAGAACCCAGAAAAACACTTACTTATGTTTTGCCAGTTTATTAAAGGACATGATAAAGTGTACAAATCAATAATAAGATGAAGAGATACATTGGGTGAGGTCCCAAACAAAGGAGCTTGGGGCCTGGCTTGGTGGTATGAGGAAAGGTTCTGGTTTTCTAAGTGCGGAAGCTCTGTGAAAAGGACCAGAAATCTGTCCTGTTGGATTTTTATGGAGGCTTCAGTACATAATATTATTGACCAAGCCATTGGCTATTGGTTCATCAACCTCCAGCTCCTCTCCCCTCCCTGGTGGTAGTGATGTGTGGTGGTGGGGTCCATAAGTCACCTTCAATAATAACAAGACACACGGGGCGCCTGGGTGGCTCAGTTGGTTAAGCGACTGCTTTCGGCTCAGGTCATGATCCTGGAGTCCTGGGATCGAGTCCCGCATCGGGCTCCCTGCTCGGCAGGGAGTCTGCTTCTCCCTCTGACCCTCCCCCTCTCATGCTCTCTCTTTCTCTCATTCTCGCTCTCAAATAAATAAATAAAATCTTAAAAAAAAAAAAAAATAACAAGACACTCATTTCACCTTTATGGCTTTGAAACATTTTCAGGAACTGTGGATGGAAGACCAAATCTATCTGAGAAATATATTTTAGTCATCTAAATGACCAAATAATATTTCTTATAAGTCATTATACTGCCGGTAACCATTGCACGTGATCTGATTTACTTAGTTTCTTATTTAGCTAACTTTGATGGAGCAACTGCTACATGCTTAGGCCCCCCCAAGTACGGTCCTCTGTGTATGTGGGGAAGGCAGACATAGTTTTTTCAAAACGCTGTTGAAGCCCAAAGGAAGAAATTATTATGAAGAAGGTAAATTTAAACCAGATGACTAGGATTGCCCAGCAGAAAGGTAGAGGGCAGGGTATTCCAGGCACAGAGATTTGAGATAGAGGGTTTGGTGAGTGGTTTGCACTGTGTGGATACAGAGTAGATTATTTTGTGTGTGCCTTGGTAGATGGGCAGAGTCAACAGTGTGGTGGTGACAGGAGATACAGTTGTAACTATTGAATTATGGTTTTGAAACCTTCAAATCCTCTACTCAGGAGTTTGGAACTGAGCCCACAGAATGAGTTTTATCAAAAAATCATGTGGTTATATTGCCCTTTAAGCAGATCAGTCTGGGATTACTTTGAATTGAATGGTGGAGGAACCAGAGGCCAGGAATCCTTAGGAGGCAGTTGTTAGCAGTGTGGAGAAGAAATGTTTAGTGCTGCAGTAGGAAGTGAGAAAATGAGGAGGAGAGGTCGTATTTAAGAGCTGTGACCAATTGCATTTAATTTATAGTTAAGCTTTTCTTTCCTTTAATTTAGATCACTTTTGAACAGTATTTTTTTTTTCCTGTTACTACTTTTTGATTTTGAGCTGTTTCTTGGATAAATTGAGGCCTGCTGTCTTAGTCTGTTCAAGTTGCTATAACAAAATTTGTCCTCGGCCCCTCAAATTCATGTCTTTCTCATGTCATCACCTCAAAATGTCATTTCTCTCTCCTCTTCGCTCTTTCACTACAATCTGACTTCTATCTTCCCTCACTTCTTCAAATTGTTTTTGTCAGAGTCACCTGTACGCTCCATGGTACAAAATCCAGTGGGTATTTGACCTTTGGCAGCAGTGGACATAGTTTATTCCTCTCTCCCAGATTCTTCTCCCTTCTCAGCTTCTGCAGCACCACGCTCTTCTGGTTTTTCCTTTTGTATCATTGGCTGCTGCTTCCTCTTTCAGTAATAGAGTTCCATAGGAGTTCCATGTTGTCCCCATCTGGGTCCCAGCCACCACCAGCCTGCTTGTGGTATGTCAGAGGAATTACCTAACACCCTCCTCTTCCTCAGACCCCTCAAATTTCTGTCTGTATCTAACACTTGAGGCTCTGGAGCCTTTACCAGTCATGCTATCACTTTTTACCATGGGCTACAGGCTCTGCTAGGTGCCCCCTCCTCCCCAGGATTCTGTTTAATTATGCAGAGTCATTGGCCCTCTCCACCTTTTTCCTACCTCCCCACCAGAGGTGCATAGAGGTAAAGTTATTTACTCAGAATCATATAGTTAGTGAGTGGAGGAAACCCTTGGGATTCAAACCCAGGCCTTTGTAGCTCTAAAGACTATGTTCCTTCTGCTACATCAGGTCATTTATCTATAGTTGTTCCCTAACTATCAAACAACCAATAGCAAATGGTTGTTAAATTCGTCTCTGTGTCACAGGTAAAGTATAAATCTTGAGTCCAACCTCTGCTTATGATTCTGTTCTAATCACCATCATCTCTTACCTGGACTATGGCAGTAGCCTCTTCACCAGTCTCCCTGCTTCCCTGTTTTGCAGCCTTACAATTTTCCAGCTGGAAATTTTTTTTTTTTTTTTAAAGATTTTATTTATTTGACAGAGAAAGACACAGCGAGAGAGGGAACACAAACGGGGAGTGGGAGAGGGAGAAGCAGACTCCCCGCCGAGCAGGGAGCCCGATGCAGGACTCGATCCAGGGACTCCAGGATCATGACCTGAGCCGAAGGCAGTTGCTCAACCAACTGAGCCACCCAGGCGCCCTCCAGCTGGAAATTTATATATTAAAACATATAAATCAGGGGCACCTGGGCGGCTCAGTCGTTAAGCGTCTGCCTTTGGCTCAGGTCATGATTCCAGGTCCTGGGATCGAGCCCCGCATCAGGCTTCCTGCTCGGTGGGAAGCCTGCTTCTCCCTCTCCCACTCCCCCTACTTGT